TCGCAACAGATTCGAATCTACGAAATTTTCATCATCACGTAATGTAGGGCGAAATCAAAATTGACACTGGCACACAAAACACCGTTGCAAACATCGATTTCGAATTAACAGTTACTTACCAATAGGCAAGAAGTGAAATTCCAAACGCCACACACAACACAGGGTGCGTATTGAAAATAGAACGGTATAGGGATGCGACACGCACGTGTCGGTATGTGTTCGAGAGAACGCGACGTGTGGTCAGAGCAACGGCCGCGAAAGACTGGCGCGCCGGAGCGTCTGGGACGCACCTGCCGCCCGGCCCCCGCTACTAGGCAGGTACTGTATCGATGTCGATGAAACATTTTCATTTTATCAACTTTCTTAAAGGTACAGCTAAGACGTCGTCTACATAAATAAAACGCTTTTTAAATAGAACTTTTTTATTCCAAAAACGCCGAAAAAATAAAAACCTCTGTGAACCCTTCGAATATAAACATTTTGAAGTGTTCTTTAGCGGCGTTATAATTTTTTTTTTGGAATGGGTAAAAAATGTTAAACTCGCGTCAGGAGACGTGTCCTGATCGAAAATTCGTAAGACGGATGGAGAGTAGACAGCTGGCGCGGCGTATTAAATGTAATATAAATTGTCATGTTTGTGTACGATGCACTAAATAAATATTTTATTCTACCACATAAATGATAGTACTTTTATACTGATAATTAAAGCAATTCGTGCAAAATGATTTGCTAACCATTCCAAAATATCAAAAATGCACATCGTTAATATTCAAGTTTTCACTCCTGCGTTTTTTTTTGTTATTAAATGCCAAGGAGTGAAATTAAAAACAACAGAGGAGCGTTCATTTTTTTTGTGTCAAAGCACTAATATAAACGAATCTTTTTATATAAATTAAAGAAAGCATTTTAAATTATGGGTAGAATTTAGTCTAATCTTCGTATGCGATGACGTATCAGAAGAATATATTTTGTATTCACTAATATAATCAACATTATACACATATGAGTTACTTTAACATGTATTATATAAAGAATTTATTTATAGTTAACTTTGATCGCACCTTTTAATATCGATATCGATAACACCTCGACGTCACTAATCATGACATGAGTAAACTGCGTACACCGCTCATCAAATTAATTACAGCCTCATCTCGCCGCCAAAAATATTTCTCTCTCCCTCCGGCTTTGAGTTAGTCTATCCTTTTCACACATGCAATGATTATATACAAATATAGTATAAGTCTCTCTTTTCAACATACAGATACTGTTAGTTCGCGCGTGCCGAACAAACGGAAAGTTTTCACCTGTGTCTTGTGAATGAACGATGTCGGTGCCTTTGATCTTCACAACAATGATTGACAAATACATAAATTTACAGGCTAAATGGTGTCCTATTTCGCATAGTAATAGAGCATAAAATACAACGAATGTGGTATTGGACTAACTAGGCCAAATAGTAGTAGGCGTAGTATGTAATACTTTTTTACTTTCTTTCGTATAGCCGTACATCGGGTGCAGCTTTGGTAGAGATATTTATGTTACAATATCGAATTCCTTTGCTTTGTTGTTTGTGTGTTTGATTGTTTGTGAAATGAAATAAATACATGAATGCCCTTGTAGATATAGCGGTTACAGCGGTGCGATAACTAAAGTATCGTATTTAATCACTCAATTGTAACCTTACGATAAAAAAAACCCTTTAAATATCTCTCATACAACAATATAACAGCTATCAAATGACCAGGCTTATAGTATTATAGTAAGTATTTACATGCTATATAAGCTTTACAAATGTGGAGTAACTTACATTCAAATTAGGTTTACCTTCAGACAAAATAATTAAGTATTCGAAAACGACGTTAAATAATAAAAACTACGCACTAATATTAGATAAGAATAAATGTATGTAAATACTACTACGTACTACGATATAACTGCTTAAATTGACAATTTAAACCATTAATATGCCTCACCTCACACCAGTTTTCCTACTTCCATATACTTATGGAATATAATAACTATACTTAGTTATATTTGAAAAATGAGAATTGCTCATTGTCATTAAAAAATTGTACACAAGCGCTTATTCTTTTAGCGCGGGAAAATTTGGCGGCAAGCGCATATTCCGAGCAGCGTCTTCTTCACAGATTAAAAGGGTTTTTTTTTTTTTTTAATAATTTTATGGCCTGGTAACGAGACCTTTAAGCCAGATTAAAAGGGTTACAATGAACCATAATCTCAAAACAGATGAATTAAAATCATTACAACTATTAATGTAATAATAATAGTAATAGGTAATCTGTGAATACAATGTTCGACATTGAGCTTGAAAGAACTGTAATAATCATGTCTTTATGGCTGACGCATAAACCGTGCAGGCCAAGGGGAAAAAAAAATCATGTCTTTGTTTTCTTATCCAAGTTATTATAATCCAGTCAAAATAGACAAAAATAAGTCATAACTTAGCCAAAATTCGCATAGAGCTGAAAATTGGCAGAGACGTTAAATACATCATTATAAATGAAATGTCAAAAATCCCCTTCGATCCTACTTCTGCAAAAAATTTTATTCAAGGTCAAATATATAAAATTAAGGTTTTTTCCATTTTTATCGAAAACAGTTAGTATTATCGTGAAAATAGATCAGACAAAAGTTGTAGATCATACAATTCTCTACAAAAATGGTTCAGTCACTTTTTCTCTTACGACTCACCATTCATGAGATATCGCGGTTTTAATCATTAGAAAATTCATATTTTACATAATATGCACTAAAATGCAGTCTGTTTACGTCACCGGACGTTCAATATAAATGAAAATAAGAAACTATTCGTTTGTGTTACTTACACAATAAAACTTGTATAAATTAAATGAGGATTTTAAAATATAAGACTATACTGTCAGTCCCTAATTCCCTTCGTCGGTAACCTTGAGTAATATCTGCTAGCTACGTCATTGTTTGAGTGTAGAGGGTCGCATACCTGCCTATTTTTGAAGGAAGTAAATGAAATAACTCAGTATATACTGTTAGTTTTGAAAATTCCTGTGCTGTGAGCAGACGAGCTTATTGGTAATATTTTCAATTTTAATTTGTGCTGTTAAATAATTTAAACAAAATGTCAGCAGTTTGTTTTATTTGTGATAAACCTTTGAAAGAAAGTGAAGTCGTTGTTGTTGATCGTGGAATGAAGACTTTGATTGATGCAAGTGTTGAAAGAAATGATAATTTTTTTGAATACTTAAAAGACAAGCAATCTGTGATAGTCCACGTGCAGTGTCGTAAAATGTATACTCGAAAGAGTAGTATTGTTGCAGCTAAAAGACAGCGCGAGACAGAAGAAGGTAGTACATCCACGATAAGTCCACCTCATACTAGAGCACGAGTAAGTGAGCCAGATTTCAACTTTAAAAAATGTTGTTTATTTTGCGGCGATGAAGCAAATGAAGCAGCTGAAAAGAAGAAAGCGCAGAATGTTCGTCGTAAAATTTATAACGTATCTACACTTGAATTTAAAGATTCCATTTTAAAGGTAGCTCGGACTCGTTCTGATGACGTAGCAAAAGTTGTTATTGCCCGCATTGGGCATGAATTTGACTTAGTTGCTGCTGAAGCTAAGTACCACAATAACTGTTATAATATCTTTCTGAGACCTACCACGGGATATAAAGTCGGTCGTCCCGAAGATGATTCAGTAAACTTGGCGATGGAGGAAATATTTCAGTACATTGAAAATAATGATGATTGCCAATTATCATTACAAGAATTGAAAGATATCGGCAAAAATCCAACTATAGATAATAAAACAATTAAAAGAAGATTAAAGTTAAAGTATGGTGATAAAATTATTATAACTGAGAAGAAAGGAAGCTTAACAATTATCTGTTTTATTGATAATCAGTTCAGATAATTATTTGGAGCCAATTCAAACTTTACTCCCGCCTGCTCCAGAAAAACTACTTAATACTATTTTTTGTAAATGCAAGACGGATTGTAGTAAGAGTTGTGTCTGTCAAAAAGTAGGATTATTTTGTTCGCCAGTATGCATCAATTGTCAGGGTCAGACTTGCTCCAATATTGAAACAAATACAACAGATGAAGATATTTATGATATTAATGAAGAGACAATTGATGCATCCCTTTTCTTAGAACAGCAAACAGAAATTCTGCAAGAAGAAGAGAATGAAGACGAAGAAATAATTGTTGAAGTAGAATAAGACAATTATCTTATATAATGACATGTAGAAAAAAACAACCTATTCCACTTTGATCATTAGCAATATTACTATTCTTTCAATTAATAGGATACGATCTGATCAAACTTTCTTTATTACAATAGATCGTGGAGTATACCTACTGGGGAAACCACGTTAAAAAAAATGCGCCAAGTACATTACCTCATAGGTGGTGCGGAAATGTGTGTAGAATATGAATTTTCTAATGATTAAAACCGCGATATCTCATGAATGGTGCGTCGTAAGAGAAAAAGTAACTGAACCATTTTTGTAGAGAATTGTATGATCTACAACTTTTGTCTGATCTATTTTCACGATAATACTAACTGTTTTCGAGAAAAATGGAAAAAACCTTAATTTTATATATTTGACCTTGAATAAATTTTTTTGCAGAAGTAGGATCGAAGGGGATTTTTGACATTTCATTTATAATGATGTATTTAACGTCTCTGCCAATTTTCAGCTCTATGCGAATTTTGGCTAAGTCAAATGCCTATTTTGACTGGACTATTATATATATTTCTCAGTAAGGTTCTCATATCCATACTTATTTATTCTGAACCTGAAGCTTTTACTTCAAGCATAGAAGTAATATATTATTCACAGTTGATTTTGCATTCATGCATTTATTATTATTTTTAAGTAATTACATTATGGTATTCAAAATTAACACAAAGTCCCAAGAAAGAAAAAAATTCATTAAGGGAACTGAATAAACTTTTAAACATAATATTATTTATTTTTATATCCCAGTAGTTTTTATAACTATGAATTTTCTGTTTCCTTGTACCTGCAACACAAAAGTTATTTTAGTAACACTTAAATAAAGTGAAAAAACTCCTCACAAATGTTTTTTATTAAAATGCATATAGTGATTGGTGACTTACACATCCATTCGAGATTAGCAAATATTTTGCTATGATTTCAATTGTAAATTTATTATTTTATTAATTAATAAAAATATAAAACTAATATTATTAGAAATATGAAATAGTTTTTAATCATAATTTTTAACAATTAAATAATTTAATCTAATGATTTTTAACAATTAAATAGTTTCTATTTTATGAAACAATTGAGAAATACTTTGGTTCCAACTTAATTCTTCCACAGAACACTGATGTGTAGAACATGTATTGGGGACTGTGAGTTTGATAATTAACTTGTAGCATGAAGTTCATTGTTGTGGTGAAATAAGATCCTACACATTTTTATGTACAAATTTAATACATATTATGTGTCTATTTTATATAAGAAATAAAAAAACTCACTTGCAAGATACACAGGTATAAAAGACAGTCTGCCCTTCATCAGCCGATCTCAACTGTAGTGTAGCATAGGACATTCTATCACAACCACATTTAGGGCATTTCCTCTCAACAACTGGGCCTTCAGGATTGTCCAAATTTAAAATATTTTCATTTGCTATGACAGACACTGTGTTGAAGTTAATAGTGTAATTGAATTTAAGCTTGTTGAAATCTAAAAATAATATGAGATTAATTAGAAATAAACAGAACATTTCTATACATACTAAAACAATCTGTATTTATTTATGTGTTAAATACTATCTTGTCTTCTGACTGAGTAGTGATCACTATCTGAGTATACAAAGTATATTATTATTTTATTATTATAGACCAGTAAAGTATCAAGGAATAATTTATCAATGAAGTAGATGGAGATCAAAATGTAGCTCCACTAGATTTTTTCTTACTATTAAAAAGAATGAACTTACTTTCTGGTTCATAAATTGATTTGCATGCATAGCATTTAACAAGACCAAAATCATTAAGTAATGGTAGTATAGATCCACATCTTGCACAAAATGCTGTAGTACTAGTAAACGGTCCTACCTCTGCCATAATTGGTACTGAAATAAAATAATTAAGGTTTTGGTGATAAAATTTTTTAGCCTATTCCCTACAGAAAACAACAGAAAGTATACTTTTTATGAGACGTACACACATCCCATACAAATACTCAGATTGTGTTACACATTATTTTTATAATACGAAGGGAATAATGTGCCTATTACAATATTTATAATTTATTGTATTTATTTTCGTTACCTTGTGTAAATTTTAATCTGGGAAATTGAATTTCTTTCTATGGTATAGATATAGAATCATGATTTCTATACATAATCTGTGGTTGTGGCTAGTGTATAAATATGTAATATGGAAAAGAGTAAATGAAGGAGAAGCGCGGGAAATACGATCGTAGACTGACGCGTTTTTCGATTTAATTAAATTTTATTTTATTTCTAGGGTTTGGATCAGTAGTCTAGTGTATTTAATGTATATATTTTTGTTATTTCTTAGTTTTATTTAATAGTGTATTAAAGAGAAGATTTATTGGTAAGTTATTTTAATATACTTTTGCTCCTTATGGAGCCGCCTGATGACCCTGGGGGCGGAGAAGTCCCTGGGGTGGGCTGTATAGTAACGATTTCAAATGATGAGTCTGGAATGGAAACAGATGGATCTATAAAATCTAGCAGTGGTGCTCGAAAACGGAGAGCCACTGTGCATAAACATTGCACCCACTGTAATAAAAAGAGACGTAGTCGGAAACATGAGGGCAAGGAAATCAAACCAAACGAATGTCATTGCATTCCTTTAACCAATACCCAAATTAGCACTGCTCCCTTGTTCAATGAGTCACAATCCAACCCGTCACAACTTAATTCCTCTAATGAATATAAAAAGCCAGAATCAGTAGCACGTTTAAGATACCAGCCAAGTGATGCAGCACCATATGTTGTTCACATACAAAGAGTACAGCAAACTCCAAATGATAGCGTTTCAGTCCACCCAATTGCTTTTGGTCGTTTCTTAAAAAGAAATTCTATACACAATATTGTTAACGGAAGCCTAAAACGAATTGGTCGTAATAGACTGTCTCTGTCTTTTAATAATTACCAGGACGCAAATTCTTTCCTAAATAACTCTGCTTTACAATCAGTCGAGTATAAGGTTTTTATCCCAACATTTACTGTTACCCGTATGGGTGTTGTAAGAGGCATACCTGCTGAGTGGTCAGATGAAGAAGTTACGGAAAATATTAATTTACCTGTTGGATGCGGTCCAATTTTAAAAATAAGAAGAATGAGACGGCGTATCATTACTAGTAATGGCAGTGAGTTTAAGCCTACTGAAACTGTGGTTCTTACATTTGATGGACAAATACTACCTAAGCGAATTTTTATTTGCTACACTTCCCTCCCAGTTGATCTTTACATTTTCCCCACAATACAGTGCTATAATTGTTGCAGATTTGGTCATGTTAAATCATTATGTAGATCAAAACCAAAGTGTTTCAAGTGTGGCCAAGACCATTCGGCTGATCAGTGCTCTATCCTAGAGGAAGATGCATACTGTTGTTTATGTCAAGGTTCCCATTTTGCCACAAGTAAAAGATGTTTAGAATTTGATCGCCAAAAAGCCATCAAAGAATCTATGGCCAAGAGCTGTATTTCGTACGCTGAAGCATCTAAAATTCATGCACCTATCTCAAAAATATCTTATGCTGATGCTTTACTTTCTTCTTCCAATGTAGGTGCTTCTACTATTTCTACTCCTCAAAATGAACAGTCTCATAAACAGTCTTTGAGTAACTCTTACAAAAAGACTTTTTTTCTCAAACCTAAATCTATTCCTAAACTTTCCAAAGGTTATGACAGAAATACACAACAACAATTAATTAAAGATTATGATATGCCCTCACCCAGAAATGGTTGTGGATTAAACTTAAACAACAATAATGATTTGACATTACAATCAATTGCAGACCTAATAAAAATTCTCATTAACACTTTATCACAGTCAAATATTCTTTCACCGTCCAACGCTGCTCCTTTAATTGACACTATTGTTAGCTTACCAAATTATATTAATAATGGACAAGCAAGCCAAAGCTCTACAGTGGAACTGTAGAAGTGCTTCGTCTAAGAAAAGTGATATTATTTATCTTATAAATAAATATAAACCTTTTATCTTCGCTCTACAGGAAACCTGGTTAAAACCAGGTGCTCCTTGTAGGTACTCAGGCTATGCCTGTCTCCGTGAGGATCGTATTGACGGGTATGGCGGAGTTGCCTTACTAGTCAAACATCATCTTCCTTTTTCTCACTTTCCTATTCCTTCTCATAGTAATGATTTTTCAATTATTGCTGCTATTGTTAATAATATCTGCTATGTTTCAATATATATTCCTCATCCTAGTTCTTCTATCTTTGTTGAAATTGACTCTATCATTTCTACTCTTCCTAAGCCTTTTATCTTATTAGGCGACTTTAACAGTCAACATAATTCTTGGGGCAGTTCAACAACCAATACATACGGAGTTTCATTGATGGAACTGTTAAACTCTCATAATCTTTGCTTTCTTAACGATGGTTCTGTGACCCGGCGGACCTCTCCCAATGAAGGCTCAAGTGTCCCTGATTTAAGCATTTGTACTCCTAGTTTAGCTTCCACTATTTCATGGTCTACACTTTCTTCTTCATATGGTAGTGACCACTTCCCTTTACTTCTTAGATTTCCTTTTCACATTAATTTTACATTTAGACATTCACCTAGATTAAAACATCGACTTAATAATGCTGATTGGGATACCTTTAAATCCCGTATAGAACAAAAGATGACTTCCCTTCCTAATATCTCACATGGTTCAGAATCAATTTGTGCTGATGCATTAACTAAATTATTTATAGAAGTAGCAGACAAAACCTTTCCGCTTAAAAACGGTGCTCTGGGCTTTATTCCATCTCCACCTTGGTGGGATCAAGAATGTTCAGATGCAATTAAAAAAAGAAAACAAGTTGAGCTCCAATATTGTGAGAATTGTACATCTGAAAATTTTGATCTGGTTACAGATGCTTTCAAGGCCACTAGTTTATTATTCAAAAAGAAAAAAACAGATAGCTGGAAATCTTTTTGTCTCTCCATCTCCCCTAATGTCCGTCCTTCTGTGGTATGGCGTAATATTAGAAGATTCAGGTGTGCATTTACTGAAACTTCTGGTTCTCTCCCCGATTCATTAACAAATCAATTCCTCGACAGACTTGCTCCTACTACAGTTCCTGAAACAATAATTATACCTCTGATGCCATTGAACCCCTCTGGTCTCAATAGTCCATTTTCTATGTATGAAATTAAAGGAATACTATCTTCAGTTATAGACTCTGCTCCTGGTGACGATGGAATCCCATATTCCTTCATCTCTCATTTAGGTGACCAAACTCTTGAATATTTCCTGAAATTGATAAATACACTTATGTTAACCGGTTCTATCCCTCCACGCTGGAAAAACCAGATCATTATACCAATTCTAAAATCTAATAAAAAATCCCTCTAACGCAAATTCATATCGTCCTATTGCATTATCCTCGGTCTTGATAAAACTCTGTGAACATTTAGTGAAAACTCGTCTTGAATGGTTTGTAGAAAGCAATAAATTACTTTGTGACAGTCAATTTGGTTTCCGTCGAGGGAAGAGTACGATGGACAGTATTGCCATCTTTATAACTGACATTTTTTTAGCATTTTCAAGGAACGATTCTGTTGTTGCCACATTTTTAGATGTACAATCCGCTTATGACAATGTAGTGTTGTCAGTTCTTCATAAAAAGCTACAGTATTTGAATGTACCTGTAATGTTATCAAATTTTATCATAAATACTTTATACGAAAGACACATCACTCTAATTTCACAAGACTCCACTGTTGTAACCAGAACCTTATGGAGAGGTCTTCCTCAAGGATCAGTCTTAAGTCCCATCTTATATAATATTTATACCCATGATTTGAAAGCTTCTTTGGGTAATCGGATTTGTATTCTCCAGTATGCTGATGACCTTTTAATTTATTCCATTCATCAATCACCGGCCATTGCTTGCTCATTACTGTCTCATTCTCTTAATTTATTAAAAACTTGGCTTGATACTAATGGCCTTGAAATATCCCCCACTAAAAGTGTTGCCATGCTTTTTTCTAGAATGCGTCTCCCTCCTCCAATCAACGTGTATTTTGATAATAATATTATCCCTGTTAAAAACTCTGTGAAGTTCCTTGGTGTGTTTTTAGATTCTAAGCTCTCTGGTGTAAATCATTGTGACTACATTTTTAATAGGTGTGAGCGAAACCTGAACATTCTTAGATGTTTATCCGGTGTATGGTGGGGTGCCCATCCCTTTTGTATGAAACTCATGTACAATGCTTTAATCCGAAGTATTTTAGACTATGGTACCTTTTTATTATCTCCTGGAAATGCAACCCGTTTAAAAAAATTAGATAATATACAGTCTAAGGCATTAAGATTAATCACAGGAGCTATGAAAACTAGTCCAATTAATGCTTTACAAGTAGAATGTGTTGAAGCCCCATTACATCTTAGACGACAATATTTATCTGATAAATTCATATTTCGCTCCCTTCAATATGCCAACCATCCTCTCCGTTCTAAGCTGCAAGAACTATCTCAATTGTTGACATCTTCCAAGTACTGGTCAAATAAATCTTCACCTTGTCTCATCGTCAGCTTCAATAAATTTATCAATATTCAAGCTCCAACTCATACCTTACCAACTTACCCTTTATTTGGAACAAACTTTGAATCTCTAATTATTTCTCCAGACATTAGATTCAATATTGGTATAAACAAGGGCGATTCCCACGCAAGGATTACTTTTAATTATTTCTGTGAACAACACTGCCATGAGTACAATTACATATTTACAGATGCCTCTAAACACGGTTCGTCTGGTAATGTAGGCATAGGAGTATTTCACTTACAAAGTAAAACTACAATAAAAATAATGTTTCCTCCAGAGTCCTCAATCTTCACAGGGGAATGTTACGGTATCTTTAAAGCTTTAAAATTAGTTTTGAGCAAGAAACTTAAGAAATCCATCATATTCACAGATTCACTTAGTGCTCTTCAAGCTCTCCAAAAATATCCATTAAAAAACAAATTAATTTTTCCTATCATTATTGAGATTAGGAGTTTGTTGTATGAATGTGAGCAATTGGGGTTGTCTGTGTCATTTGGTTGGATACCTGGACATTCTGGTATTTTTGGTAACGACATAGCAGACCAACTAGCAAATGAAGCTGTTAAGGATGGCGATTCTAACTCGTATAAAAATTATTATCATGATTTGGCCTCACTTCCTGCTTCTTTTCTTCGACAATCTTGGACTGACCTTTGGATTCAGAGCAGTTTAATTAAGGGTAAATATTTTTCATGTATACAGCCCACAATACCACTAAAGCCATGGTTTTTTAAAATGAAATTTAATAAAAAGGAAACATCGTCTCTCATTCGTATGAGATTGGGCCATGTGTGTACCCCAGCCCACCTTTCCAGATTTCATATTATTGATAGTGAAATGTGTGAGTGTGGGCTGAATATTGGTGATTTAAACCATATCATTCTGTCCTGTCCTCGGTATAACCACTCCATGTTATTCGATCATTCTCATCCTTCTTCTAGTATCCCGTTACCTACATCTGTTCCTGTTCTGCTTTCATCTTTAAATAATAATATATATAAAAAGTTATGTTTATTTCTTACTCTAAATAATATAAAATTATAAATAAGTACATACATATGTATACAAATCGTATTTTGTATGATATATATTTTATTAATAACTGTTCCTTTCCATAATGTAGTACTTTGTATTAGAGATAGTTTTATATCCTGCTGATCCTATCCTTTATCGATGTAATGTTCATTCGGTGTAAAATTATTTTTCTTTACTATTCCGTTTTCCTTACCTTTGTCTGTGGCAATACGCTCTGCGTGAGGCTATTTAAAAAAAAAAAAAAAAAAAAAAAAAAAAAAAAGAGTAAATGAAGCCAAATTTTATGAACCGCTCTCTGAACTTTGGCTCCGCAACTCAAACAACAAATGTATATATTATACAATATAATAAATATATTTCTTATTTTTTTTTCTTTATGGCTCTGGCACGGTTTGTGCATTATTATTTATTTATTAACCAGCGTCAAGTATAAGATTTTTTTTATAATTCGTGCTTGCCTTAGAAATTCGACCGTGTCCTCCACGTACGGTTTAAGCACTCGCCCGGTACCGCACAACCCTCCCAAAGGCCGAGAACAAATTTTAAATTAAATTAAAACTTGCCCTCGAACCCGGTACCTCTCACCTAGTTGTCACTTAATAAGACCGCTAGGCTATGAGGCCCCCATATTTCTTATTAAATATTGATTTGGTTTTGTTTAAATGTTGCACACTAAAAAAGCAAACATTCTAATGAAACTAGAAGGAACCTATGAATAAGATTTATAAATAAAAAATGCGTGCGTACAAAGTACACATGTTAGATGTGAAACTTCTTTGGCAAACTAATCTTTAAGTCTTGCTCATATTTAGTCAGGCCGCACACCAGGCATACATTTGTAACTCGATAATTGTAGCGCCACATTTGAAACGCGACACATTTAACGCCCCCATACATTTGTACGTGAGCACGCACACCGAGGAAACATTTGTGGCGGGCGCACTTTGTAGCGAGACAGTTTCCGCGCCACACAAATTCAAGATCGAACACGTTCGTTTTTTGTGTCGCGATGGTTTGCAAAAATTAAAGACAACATTGGTTTATTCACTCGCTCAATCACACGCTCAATGATTATAGTAACAGACGGATTACAGAAATAATTTGGACTAAGATTGGCGAAAAATTCCCGTACTTTGTGCAATCTTGATTAAACGAATGAACCCAATAACGTCTTTTTTTTCTCATTAATCGCAACATCAAGAAATCTATGTCATAAGACGATGATGTCAACCTTCTCAAAGCGGTGCCACGCTACAACTGTGCTTCCGATGTGCGCATTTTCAATACATTTGTAGCGCATACAATTATAGCGCAACGACTTCGCAACGATTGTGGCGACGTAAATAACAAATGTATGCCTGGTGTGTGGCCTGACTTATACAAATCTAAAACTTTAGATTTCCGATTCTTAGAGGGAGGGAAAAAGGAAGATATGTTAGGAATATAAATAATAAATAATACGCGTAACAGAAAAATGTGACGCATTACCGAAAAATGTAACGGTATTTTTGAAGTGAATTTAGTGTAACATTTTTTCGTTACGCGTCACATTTTTCGGTTACGCGCCATGTTGCTTTTTGAAGTCAAACTTCTTTATCGGCGTTGGAATGAAACTTCTTTATCGACATATGGTAGAAATTTTGTAGCAAATCGTCACGTTTTTCAATGATAGTAATAATTCTATTACAATTAATGAAATTCTATAATAATCTTCGTAGTAATAAGGTAAAATGAAATATTTGTATTCATGTCTATGATAATAAAAGCCTTTTGTTAAACTTTATCTAATTTATTGATGAGAAATTCGTTAATTTCTGTAAAGTTGCATATAGTAGATCATTTTTCGAAAAATAAGATCATAAAGAAGTTTCACTTCTTACGTGTGTACACCTAGTACACGCACAATTTTTTTTTTCCAACGCCGATATAGAAGTTTCACTTCAAAAATCTTGTAACTTAACTTATCCTTCGTCTAGGAAGGATACTGTAAATCGGGTGTAAAAGACAACAAGACAAACTATAGCGTATTTATATTATTAAAGTAGATTTGGCAGCCAAACACCGAAAGTGATATACGTAATATTTTTGTATTGATAAAATATGAGTTAGTTTTAATTGTAATATATTAGCTGTGTAGCAGCTTTGTATTATATGACTAGTCTATGCTTTATACGTATATAGCTGACAGTTGTGACTTGTGAACAATATTATCTTTTGTCACAAAGCCGGCCACATAATCTATGGGCCACATAATAAGTAACAACCAAACATGTAACAACACAATTTAATTTTCACAAATATTTTTGCTACCGTAAAATTGTGTTAATAGATTTTGTTCTTGGTTCTTATTACTTACTAAATATTATACTAATTAGCACCACTTACAAACAAATGTGAAATAGAAGTTTACGAATCGCTACATCGGATTCAAGCAACTTAATTAATAATTTCTGATTTATAGATAAAAGGTTTTATTCCCACTCATTCAAATTAATTCGCGTAAATTCTTGTAGTTCTATATTTCTAATACCTATCGAACAAAAAGTAGACTTATTAATAAAAATTCATTCAATTTATCATCAGTCATGGATGTACCTATGGTGTCATTTCCGCAATCAATGGATTTTCCACCAGATCAAATAGCAATGGATACAGCAGAGGTTGTTGAGAAACCCACCTCACAACCTCCAGAGTTAACAGGACCTCAGAGTGGAAGGCATGAAGAATTTTCAGTTGAAAAGGTTTTAGATAGAAGAGTTAAAAATGGAAAAGTTGAATATCTTCTAAAATGGAAAGGATACTCAAAGTAACATAAACATTAATATTACAAAAAGATAATTTTTATTTTTGTGTTTTTGTTTGTTATGGATAAATTCTTAAAGAACCACTTTAAAATGTTTGCCTTGTAAACAACTGCTTTAGAATGATAATGTATAGTAGGATATTAATCTAGGGTATATTTCTGATACTCTTTGCAAAATACAAATCTATAATAATTGTCTTAAGTCAAAGTTTTATATATTATTCTGAGATATTTCTTCAAAATATTAGAATTACCTTTAATATTCAATTCATTTCATGTGCTTGTTTAGTTTGTTTGTGTCTGAATGAGAGACATATTCTGTTTCATCTAAATAATGCATTCCATGTTTGGCATAGTTATAATATAATAATATTTCTTCAGTGAAGATAATACTTGGGAACCTGAAGATAACTTAGATTGTCCAGAACTGATATCTGCTTATGAAGAAGCACGGTTAAAGAGAGAGCGGGAAGCTCCAGCTCCAACAGAGGCTGTTGATGAAGGTCAAACAACAAGGAAGCGGACAAAGAGAGGTGATAAGAAGAAAAACAGATTAGAGGTAATCAGCATGCTTGATTTGAGAGTTTAAACTCCAGGTGGGGTTTAAATAAATGATCACAAAACGTACAAGTACATATATGAATTTACTAGAAATGTATGTATAAACCATGTTTTTATAAGTATGGTATACATTTAAATTTTTAGGAAAATATTGTTTAGAAAATATTTCAGACTTTGTTTATGTTTCTTTTTAACACATATTTGTTGTGAATTCCAGGAGATAGAAAAACCCAGAGGGCTAGCTAGGGGTCTGGCTCCAGAAAAAATCTTGGCTGGACAACTTTTCCATGGAACTCTTTTTTTTTTAGTTCAATGGTGAGTTAATTATAATCAAATCAATAATCATCAATGGTGTATAAAATAGAAATTATCATCTTTCTATTTTATACTGCGTCTATGTCCCTGTAGCACATGGCATATAATGTTTGGCATACAGTTTATTATTCTCAATCCGTGACATCATATATGAAGCCTTATTGATTCCATGTTTTTTGAGGGTATCTTTGGTACCGTCTTGAAAAATAGAAGATATGCCAGGCACGTAAGTTTAATTAATGACGTCCTTACTTCTAAGAAATAGATTCTGAAATGTGTTTACCCAATTACAGTTATTGGACTCTAGACACCAACACAAAAATGCTTAGCTTACCTATTATTCTAAAAATCATGTATAATTATTTCAGGGAAAACTGTACTGAAGTGGATGTAGTCCCAGGCCATGACCTAGGTCAAGCTTTCCCTGACTTTGTGATACGGTATTATGAGTCTTGTGCACCATTTAGTGTAAGACACCCAGTTGGCTTAGTGCCTAGGCCTGCCCCCGAGGTAAGAATTTGTATCATGAAAACTTACAACTTACTTAAACTTTGTTTAAGAAATATCAAAATTACAAATAAAAACGTGTGGCACTCGGGGACTGCCGCGGTAAAAGTTTTGCATAGCATTTTTTATCAACTTATGCAATTATAATTATTTATGAATTTTTTATTTATGCAGTATTTGTTTTTCTTTGATATTAATTCAAGTTTTTTCTTTGATATTAATTAAATCTACCACTCTACCAGACTCAGACTAAAACGCCTATATAGTCTGTCTCACTCTAACGCGTACCGGCTGCACCGGCCGCGCTTACGCTACGTCACCGATCTCGTCAGAGAGATGGGAATGTGCAGTATGCGTTCTGTCCCACTCTAACGCATATTTGCAGCACCTATATTACGTCATCGTGTGTTAGGTTTCTTTCGTTACGGAATTTCTTGATTCGGTCAAGTTACAATTTGACATTGCATTGATTGTTTATTACAAGTAGTGAATGAAAATTATCAAATGATGCTTAAGTCATGATAACGGTCCGATCTATAAGTTTATAGAAGCTGACGTTTAGGATCTGTATTACATTAATAACGTTAGGTTTAGGAAATAATACTACTATTATAAGGTTAATGAGTTTGTTTGAAGATGCTTGTGATTAGGATCAAATTGAAATAATTATATTTTTTTGTTGCATAGTAAATTTAATCAGGGAGGTTATATAACATCACTACTGGCTTAAGCTTTAAAAACATACATTTATACAACATCACACTACAAATCTTTGCTTTCTTTCTACTTTAAATGTATTTAGATGTATTTACATATAGCATTTCCTTTTGAAATGAAAATTAGTTTCTGCATTAAAAAATACTAACAAACAATATAATATACAATATTTTTATAGCTTCCAATAGAAGAGCCAGAACCGAATACCGATGCCCCAATGGAGGTCAATGAACCCGCGCCCGAGGTTAATGACCCTGTACCTGAGACGACGGGTAAGTGTATATTTACTACCATTTTGTTTTACATACAACATAGGTGAAATTTAATTGCCTTATTGTCTATTGGATTAAGGGTCTTTGAAAAATTTTATGTTTGCAAATTTTTAAACTTGTAACTTTTTTATTCAGTAATTATGTTTAAAGTAATTTTTATTTAAATTTTTCCAGAACTTCCTGCAGAAACACAAGAAACACAACCAATTACGGAAAGTGAATCCCAACCGTTAGAAGTTCCAGTAAACTGAGACTTTGTAGCTTAGACTTACATTAGTGTCCGTTTTTTGTGTATGCCTCGGGTTATATGTGAATGAAAAATGTAATAATAAATCTTAGGTCGACAAGTCTAGCTTCAACATAATAACATTTCATTAAAATATTTGTTTACTGCTGGTAAAAGCAGAGCCTATACCTAACAACAAAACTGTAACGTCATATAATCTAAGGGAGCGTTCAAGTACGAACGTAACGAATTTGGGGGGTCCTCTTGTAAAACGATACGGGGCGGAGATTAAATTACGCGTTATTGTTAATATTATTTTCGACTTTCCAGTACTATACACCTCTTATATATATTTTAGGTAAATTTTAGGCATAAAGAGTCACTAGGTGGTCACGAAACGTTTTACTATTGAGTACACAAAAACGTTACGGCGCGTTACATGGGGGGGGGGGTTTTTCATAAATCTCTAAAAATTGCGTGACGTAATACTTGAACGCTCCCTAACCAATAGTTAATGCAATAATGATACATGTGCATATTTGGAACAAAATTACTGAAGCACCAACATGCATCGCTTTTGAATAGTATTTGTAGTAACTATACCCAATGTTTAAAATAAGAACAAACATGATAAAGTATAGGAAAGTTTATGCAGATATTAGTTAAAATAAAATATACTTTAGTTTGGATAAGTTCCTTTAACTTAGCACAAATTTAAAAAAAATGTAATAATAATGTGCCAATTAAGTCCTTTTTGGCGTAGAGGGCGCTGTATTTATTTTACAAAGTCATTTGTGGTTTATTTTAGTGTGGTGGTAAATTATACAAAATAAGATTGAAATTAAACATTTTTAACCGACTTCAAAAAAGGAGGCGGTTATTAATTTAAAGTGTATTTTTTTATGGAATTTCTAAGAGATTACTTATAAAAGCGCATGTTTTGGGTATGTCAAATTATATCGTTCAATTAAAAGGCTAATTGTGCTATTCAAATCAAAACCAATACAATTATCGAATCGTGTTAAGTGGACCGTGCTAAGTTGCGTGCTAAAGCTCAAAATGTATGTATCGTAGTTCAAATCATAGAAATGGACATTCCTATTTCCTTCTAAAATATTTTTAAGATTTAGGCTTCAAAATAATTATATATCGACAAGGAATGAAATAAAATGTTATTAAATACGTATCGTTTTATTTACACTTAAAAATAATCCCTGTATAGAAACTAAACAATAGTAATATCAATACAATGCTTTGGCATTCGTGGTTATATTCTGTAATTTGAAAAGTGTTATTAAAATCAAAAAGATATTTTCTTTTTTTATAATCTAATTTTCATACAAATAATTACATACATACAGTCGCTACAGTTAAGTTTGTCAAATACTCGGTTGTACTACTGGAGATGTTTTCTAATTATGTATGTCTAGTGCTGACGATAGAGGGCGCTGCAGCAATTCCACAAAATAAATATTCTCAATACAATTGGTCTCGTGTTTTGTAAGCAGAATTCAAATAAGTAATTAATTTTTTCTTGAATTCATCATTATCACATTTGACATTAATCAGATTTCCCGTGAGTTGAACTAAGATCATCTGTAATAATTTTTTGACTTTACCACTCACGTAAATTTATAAAGTTTCAAAAATTTAGAAAAAGATGGCGTTGTTTTAATTCAAATAATCTGTGGCATAATAGTAATAAAATACTGTTGGGTCAAACAATACGTAAGATTGTGTAGTTTACGTAACAACAGTAAAAATGCATAATTATATTTAAAACTTGAGCATTCTAGTGGGTGTATTCAGAACCATCCAGATAGTTTCCTTAATACTTACGTATCCCATATCTTACAGGCAAGATAAATAAATCTTAAAATAGGTCGCATTTATCAGTAATTACTTATTAATTAGGTCCTTAATATAGCCTAGCCATATAGTACATGAAGATTGAGTAAGCTAATCGTTTCAGCCGTTCGTGCCATAATCTTCATAAAATGTTTGCGTTAGCGATGTTACCCAGTCGTTAACATTTATAATCTGTTGATAAATGGCGCGATAGAAGCAAAATTTTCACACTCAGGGATGCGTTTTCCTTTCATTTCAAGACAGGATTCGGCGCATAGATGTCCCTCAAACCAAGCACCCAGCATCTTCTTACATTGTGCACAGTTCTCGATACACACTTCTAAAGGGTCATATCCTGTTGCTGTGAACAAAAGTATTACATTATTTCTTTAAAGTTACGTCGCGTGACTACTTCTATGTAAAACTTGAAAAGGAAAATACAAATGAAGCCTTTAAGAAGTTTATAAAATTAGTATCCTCTCAAAAATAAGCTTTAATCGATATTATCTGTAATAATCAATTACAATAAGTTAAAATATGTTTTCAATCATAAGTAGACGTTTTTCTAAACATGCTGAAAGTGCAGATTTATCATTTTTCTCTTACTTATCTATGTTATAGGTTACGAGAAACGTTTATAAGAAACGAGGAACCGTTGTGGAAGGAACGTCAACTAAATGAGAAACGTCTCTAATTTTTTTCGTGTAGAGTGTGTATGGAAGATATTTGAGCACTAACTCTCACCCTAGTTGCCATTCACCTAAGTATTATAGATAAAAGACTCGCAACTCTTCGTGTCAGGCAACGGAAGCCAGCTAATTATGATCTTGTTTTTAAAATCAAACTTTGGGTCATTCACCTCTATTAGCTATGTTATTTACATCGATGAATTGTTGTTTATATGGAAGTAGGCTAAATATATGATATTGGGTTTGGTAGTACAAATTATAGAAACTGACGACTAGAATTGACGACTCATTGGTATAGTGGTTAGTATCCCTGACTGCGAATCCATGGGTCCCGGGTTCGATCCCCGGCTGAGACGAACATCGATGTGATGAGCATTTGGTGTTGTGCTTAGGTCTTGGGTGTTTAAATATGTATTTATATGTCTATCTATCTATAAAATATGTATGTATATCCGTTGCCTAGTACCCATAACACAAGCTTCACCAGCTTAGCATGGCACTACGTCAATTGGTGTGAATTGTCTTTAAAAAAAAAAATTGAAACAATATGTTTGTCAATCTCTTTGAAAATAAATAAACATGCCGACACTTTATAACACTTGTGGTTTGTTATGAATATTTCCAAGGAATTACCAAATATCTGAGAAAAATTAATGATTTTAGAGATCAAGATAAATAGAGAAAGAAAATAAAAACCAAAGTCATTTCGTAATTTATTTTATTAATACTTATAGATTTCTCGCAAAAATCAAACACCGATCGCACGAGGTCAAGTGCAAGCAATAAGCATTGCGTAAGCTTCGGTGAAAGTGATGTTATTGGGGTCATTGTCTTTGAACGTCCCTTTTAAATCGTGTCTCGGTCAAGAAGCTTAGGACACTGTTTTGCAAGTTTTCGGGGGTAAAATACTTTATACGCTTAAACCAATGTAAGATGATTTAACAGGAATTTAATTGCGAAAGATTTGTATTTCGTTATACGTATTACGTTAGGTTTTCTGTATGTACTTAAACAATGGCAATTTCAAATAATACTTTAAAAAGCTACACTAAGCCCGATCCAAAGATTCAGTAGTTAGAGAAATATTGACTTTACTCCAAGCCAAACACTTTATTTGTTTTTATATAGAACAGGGGGCAAATGGTCAGGGGGCTCATCTGATGTTAAGTGATACCGCCGCCCATGGACACTCAAAGCCAGAGGGCTCGCGGGTACGTTGCCGGACTTTTAAGAATTGATACGCTCTTTTTTTAAATATAATTCAATAGATATGGAATTATGAAACTTACTAGCAACAGCTTGTAGCCCTTTTAATTAACGGATATAAATCCTTTTTATTTCAACGTTAATTTGGAGTCCTTAACAAGAAACAGTTTCGCTACAAACCGTAAAGTCGTTCATTAAAAGTAATTTAATGGAAGCTTATTAATTATAGTGATATATAGTTACTCAGTGAAACAAATTTGACGAAAGGGCTGTCTTACACAATATTCGAAGCAGTACGAGTATTAACAAACAAACCTTTCGTTATTAATACTAGTATAAATATTACTTAGGATAATTATAAGCCACCATTTTTTATTAAAATTATACCGACGTATTAAAGTATACATAATTATTAGATTACTCTTCCGGCATTACGTTTTCATTCTTCCTACATATCACATTTGAATATGGCAAAACTGGATTTTTATTTTTAACTATTATAACTACTTATTTTTACGTCTCCTAATATTATAAATGCAGAGTAGCCTTTAACATTATTTGTGCTTTTACGGCTTGACGGGAATGATTATGTTTATTTCGGTATAGTGACGGATAGAACCCTGGAGACGCTTTAATTGACGACTCATTGGTCTAGTGGTTAGTACCCCTGACTGCGAATCCATGGGTCCCGGGTTCGATCCCCGGCTGAGACGGACATCGATGTGATGAGCATTTGGTGTTGTGCTTAGGTCTTGGGTGTTTAAATATGTATTTATATGTCTATCTATCTATAATATGTATGTATATCCGTTGCCTAGTACCCATAACACAAGCTTCACCAGCTTAGCATGGGACTAGGTCAATTGGTGTGAATTGTTTAAAAAAAAAAAAAAATTCTATTGTAACCTCGTAAACGTAGGATTTTTGTATGAATTTTATCGTCATCCAAATGGTTTCAAGCTTTATAAATCTTGTTATATATTTGTTTACACAGAAATATATTCTCCTGGGATATATTTCCACGTGCATGAGTTAGAATTTAAAGTTAGAGTAAAGGTTTGAACATGCTTTGCCTATGATTTCAAGTCGACTATTTTTTTTAGATTCGTGGGCTTGCAACACTATTGCATGTGACTTGCAATAATACTTCGTTCAATCTTGCGACAGAAGTTTAATTACCTGATTACCTTACACCGTTTCAGCTTATTGTAAACTAGCGTAAAAGAAGGTCAGATAGATAGACGGCGGGAAGCGACTTTGTTTTTATGAAGATTTTTTTTGAAAATAAGCGAAAGTTATATTGTAAATTATAATAAACTCACCAATAGCAGGGTTAGCCTCGATGTTAATGACGCAGATAATTAAAATTGCAACAAAAGTGAAGAGGGGTGAAATTTTGCCAGTCATTTTTGGTTAGGCTGAAAAATATATTTATTAAGCAACGATTTAATAACAAAATTATTAATTCCAATTTCTTGGAGAACCTGATCCGAGAAGTAAAAACTCACACCTGGAACTTCAAAATCAGCATGTGATTGAAGGACGGAGAAAGGTTACAGCCCTTTTCCAAGTAATATTCTGAATTATATAGCCCTAAAGATCTGAATATAATGAAGCTCTCTCTAATCTAGTCCAGAATAAACTGGCTAATTACTTAGTCATCAAAATAATAAAAATAACATTCTTACCGATGCGTCGAGCTAAGTATTTGATAAAACAAAAAATAAATTAATAATAATTCTATAAGGCACGTGCCTACGTGCTTTAAACAACTAATCTTATGAATAAAACGCACTGTAAAGTGTATTAATATTTTATCGTTAGAAAGAAGATTCGTAAACTAGACTTACTCAGAGACGTTCAATAAATAATAGGTTTAAAATCGGCAGCCAAAAAGCTTTTTTTTATAAAGTAACGGTATCATTATTATAATAAATTTATAGTTTGAGAGTTAAGTTAGACTTTAGATTAATTTAGAAAGACTCTGAGTACGGCCGCTAGTTTTATAACATTACGTATATAATGGACGATAAAGGTCTATCAGGATTATAGCAGAAATGTGTTTTAAGCGTAAATAATCGTTTAACAAAACGTACCCCATTCAAGTTATGACAAAGCGACTTCCGCGTTGCACATAGAACGGTTGAGGCATGCGCCTGCGCAAGTTTTCCTATAGCTATTCATTTCCGTACACTACCAAGTTTATCAAGTTCTTTATTTGGAATTTTCTCGTCGTTTATTTTAAATTTTAAATTTCGGCACATTTTAGGTACATGTACTCGTAATCTCTTATTAAAATTAAAAATTCATAATAAATAAAATAACACTATAGACCGGAAGTATTTTTTTTAATTTCAATAGTTCCCCAAAATATTAAAACGAAGAATTTTTTGGTCCATATAAATTTAAATGATAACGGACCCCACCTGTAATTTAAATCATTAAATTCTTCGACTGTTTAAAAATGGTCGAATTTAATGTGCATTAATTAAAATTACTCAAGTAATTAAAATTCCATACTGACCTACATTGAAATCCTGTTACCGTTTTAGAACTAACTCACAATCACTTAGATGTGGACCAAATAAATAATTCAAATCTGGCAACACAATGAATTTGACCACTACCCACTCGCAGTACATTAGTACTTAAAATTTCGGAAAATTCGACTTTATCAACGACCGATCGTAAATGTATCGAGTTTAAATATGAAACAAGTTGACTATGTTACGTTAAGTGGAGGGGCGACATGCTCAGTATCACAGGAAATGTTTGGTTTTTTTAACCAAAAGTCAGCGATAACTCAAATAGCAGTTTCCTAAAGCCCACGAATGTTTTTTTCATCTCGCATATAATGCTCATAGGAGCTTTTATACAATACATAAACAACTTACAAACTTAAAGCTTTTCTATAGTCTGTGGGAATATAAATTGTGAATTTTATTTTAAAAATAAATGTTATTATATTATTTCGACTTACTTGGTAAATACGTGCGTAAATAAAATTTGCAAAAAGCTCAACGTACCTAAGTTTTACAACTTCGGTACTATATTAAGATTTTCCATAACATTCATAAAACAGTTGAAGGATACAACTACTGACGATTTAGTTATATGTTTGTTAATTAAGAATATTATTTTCTCTCAATACTGTAACATACTAGTGACCGGTTACCACAGTGCTTGTATACTCCTATTTTAGACTCCAGTGTCACAAAGGTTGTAAAGTGTACAGCCTACCTTATTGTGTAGATTTGTGTTAGGCAAACGAAGATAATTTAAAAAAAATATTTTACCAAAAGCGGAGCTGTTATACAATCACTTTAAATTTTCACTCTTATTTTATGCAATTGCTCTTATTGATTTTGGAATATGTTTTTTAGCAACGCAACATAAATATTGCATATATGATAACGACCGAACTGGACTTCCTTTGAAGGTTGCCCCCGGCATCTACAATGTATTGATGATACTGTTGGGGCTACTCCATAACAGTGACAAATATCGTAATATCTCGTGCCAAAGTTCCTTTGTGCTATATGAAAATAGGTCAGAGGTTTATATTTATCATCATTTACCAAAAAGCATACGCTTTCGTTTCGTTGGTTTATTATTCTGTTCGCGTCATATTTCGTGAATTGATTGAATCATTCTAAGTCTTGGTTTTTATTTCCGGAGAATGTTACCTAACATTTGTTGCTAACATTAGCCACAAAACATTATGAAACATAAAAGGATAATAAATTACATAGCTTTAATCGACATCAAAGAAGGAAGTTTACAATTCGACTTTGCCGTTTAAAAAAATATTTTGTACCCTAAGGAATTTCATATGTTCAAAAGTCTGCTTTGTCGCATCAAGGTCGCATCTATTAATCACCAATATCTCTTTTTTCGTTGAAGCCTCTATGCGTAATAACTGACACACTTTCGTTATGAAAAAATATTAGCAAGTTTTATATAACTTTATAATAACAAGTCACGCACAAAGCTCTAAAGTACGCCATAACATAGGACAAAGACACCAACTTCCGCACTCCGACAAAAAGTCAAATGTAAATAACCTGTTGATATCGCCTTCTACCACGTGATCAGTCGCGTCAAGACCGTAACACTGCATTATATTACCCGCTTACGACCACTTTGTTACTCTAGAACTGGTTTACACAGGTAATGGTTAATAAAAAGAAACACAATAAATACTCACGCAATGTTTAGAACGCTTATCAGTTAATCTGCTTAAAACTTCCTAAAAGATTCTATAGGTGCCGGAAAATAATGCTGTGCTTTGATCGATTCGTGTGTTTCCGCATATGAAATCATACATCGAAATACTCGTTACGATACAACGTAAAATTAAAGATAATTTTGGCCTGGGATTGATTTAATTTTATTGCTTCCATTCGTTGTTATTAAAATGCGCTTATTACACAGCTTTATTGAGCGCTTTTGTACTCGAAAGGTGAAATTTAATTAAGGTGTAGTATTTGTTGTTGATAATTATTCTGATAGATAATATATACATTATTATTAGTTGCATTAAAACTAGCGACGTTTTCATGGACTTCTATGACGTATATTGCGAACCTGTTTAAATGCGTACGTACATAATATATTTTGTGGTGCTTTGTCAGACATATTAAAACTCTGTATTTTTTAGTTGGTATTCTTTATTTTTTTTAGGAGCAAAGCTCTGTATCCTATTTGTAACTAGTTCATTTATATTTAACAATTAAGTAAATTATATAACAAATACTTATGTTATTAAAGAGATTATTTTTAAGATTAAGATTTGCTTTAAATTTCTCTTGCATGCTTGTATGACAGGCTTGCCGTAGGCATATAAAAAAAACAAGCCTTTTGGTCTCATAGATGTCGTTGATTGAATCTAGGTTCGGTTTCCTCACCCGTCTAAGTTGAAACGCTCGTTCACCGTAAAAGCACTTCAACAAACCGTTATGCTTGGATTTTCTTTCTAAGTGGGTATGGTACCGGAATTAAAGCAGATGACTCACTTTCTGAAATTAATTAATAAACATATGAAATACAAAAACATTTTTTAAGAAGTATTGGTTGATTTCGGTTTTCTTGATAAAGAATACATATTTCGTAAAAAACGCGTTTTAATTAAATCTCACAATTTAAAGCTGATACAACTAATCCGACTTTAAATATGAAAATAGCACCACAAGAACGTACAATAATAGTAATTAATTTTCATGGAACAAAAATGTTGTTCCCTTGTTCCGAGTAATATTACAATTACAAATTTATTAATCTAAAATTGGAAATTAGCAAAATATACATACAGCTTCTTGTTAGTGCCTTGTAGTCGAAGATTGAATTGCGAGGATGACGGGAATCCCCGAGTTTTATAGTAATCCCGGCTCAGTCTAACAAACGAACCGTGTCTGAAAGCTCCGGGAGTGGCTTTCCTCCATTATCCACACCAGTGTTTTATTTGTTAATACACAACGCGTCTTGTTTAATTTTAATCTACTTTATTTTTCCTAATTTTAGCTAAACATATAATCTCAGCCAGGCTTATTATCACTGTTCCATAATACTTTACTCATATTTTTATAAATAATGGGTAAGCGTCATGTTCTCGCTATAATGTACGTTCTCCTATTTCACCAGGCCTACTGCTGATAGACGTTTGTTTTACATGATGTTTCATTCCAAGTCATAGGGTAATGTTTACAAGTTAAATAAAACAGGAGGCGATTAAACGGAGTGGCGGAGAGTGTTATGCTAGTTCTTTTCGGTCGTTTTATGAACTTGATTTCAGAACTGGCAGTTATGGCTTAATTTTAAATTTTCATGTGTAGTGAAAGCTAAATTTCCGCACTTAGACGCTCATTTGATATGTTGTGCGTACGTCCTGTCTTATTGAGCCAGTCTAGCTCCTTCCATACGCATATAAAAGTCATCTAATTGAATAGTCTAGAAATAACCTGGTTTTGGCAGTAAGACTGTTTTGTGTAATTATTATTTTAAAAAATTTGGTTATGATTTGTGTTTTACGAATTCCTTTCATGATGCTTTGGATCACCTTAAATGCATGAAAGATGAACTCGAAGGCAAATGCATGTCCCGAGTTTTATAAACATTAAACAGTAGTGAATTTGCGTTTATAAACTTATTTAAATGTGGAGAACTAGGAAACAATATGCACCGATTTCAATTAATTTTATCGGGACTTGTAGTCTATATCCGTAGTCATGACCAAACATATTAAATAAAAGTTCGGAAATACTTCAATGGGCAGTGTAAATACTCCAAAGTGGTGGTGCGCGGCAAAAACTGCCTTAAAAAAGGCTCAGTAGTCAGTAGTGGCACGACGGATGTCAAGGTGATACGGGTGGAATTTCGCATTCTGCCTTTACGTCAGATGTATGACGAATGAAGGCTTTACGAACTAGTTCTACTTAGGGTCCTTCAAGAATAGAGTGTACCAATTCTTAAAATGCCGGCAACGCAAAAACCAAAAAGGGAATTTCAGAAACAACCGACTAAGTAAAACAAGTTTTTTTCAATAATAATATTTAAAAAAAATAAACAATTTATAACAAAAACACTCCAAACAATAAAAACATTCAAAATTGCAGTTTAATTTTCCACTTTCGGCACCTCATCTTTCATACTGGCCAGAATCAGGTTCTTGTCAGTCCCGGTCGGTTTTTTGGGCTCCAGAGCCGCCCTCATTTCCAACGCCCGAGTATCAGTCTCTAGGGACTGTTCCTTATCATTGAGGTCTATCGCAATCTTGATGGAAGCAGCCTCAAGAGCGTTGTATGTGGCTCTGAAACAAAATACAAATAATTTTCTTTGCTTGTATACCTCGTGATTTTGACCATATTTTGAAGCGTTTATATGATACTAGCGGACTCGACAGACGTTGTACTATACACACGTAGGTAAAAGAAAACAAAAATTATCTAATTATAAATCTTAACCATTTATGAGTCCACTTAAGCACACCCAAAAAAGTACCACCCAATAGAGTTAGAATTGCGAATTACCTTATAGAAGTTCTATTTTTCAAATATAATATAGTAGAGTATTTACTGAAATCTCAAATGACGAATTATAAATTAAAGTACCACGTGATTTTATTATCGAAGAAATAAATTAAAAAAATTTTTTTTACTTTGTATTAATTTTCAACACTATTAATAATTAAATTCATTAAATTTCTAACATTTCTTCCTTTTTGCCTCCCTCTAAGTCTCGGAAATCAAAAGTTTTAGATTTGTATAAATATGAACAAGACTTAACAATTAGTTTGCCAAACAAGTTTCACTTCTGACATGTGGACTTTGCACGCACGCACTTTTTTGTCAATAATGTATTTATGTAACGCAGATTTTTTTAAAGAATAATATTGTATGATAAGTATGGTGCGATATTATCCCATAATCTTGCCGCGCTCTACTACTTTATGGAACGAGCTGCCATTGCAGGTATTAACCGAAGCGTTACGACTTTGAGGCCTTCAAAAGAAGTGCGTAGTACCTTAAAGACCGGCAACGCACATGCAAACCTTTTGGTGTCAATGGCGGCGGTAAACACTTAACTTGTGAGCTTAAGCGTCCCCCTTATCGTTTGCCTCATGTCCCATAGGTAAAATATAATAAAATAATAGTACCACTGAGACAATATTCAAATATTCGTATAAATATAATATCATAAAATAAATACTAGAATAAAGTTTGCATTTGGACCTATTCCAGAAAACACATAGTAACCAACAACTAAGAAAATTCATGATAACTGTAAAATTAAACAACCTATAAGAACTTGTTGAGAGTATGTTAACAATGAAGTGAAAATTTTTCCGAACACTCATATGGAGAATTCTCATTGTAGCAAAGTTTAAATAGGTTTCTTATAAAGTGAAGTTGGTGCGACCCAAATAAGGTTAATACAGAATCTACATTGTACAAATATATTAATAAGATTGGCAAAACAGTGAACATTTTGCAACTAAAAATCATGTACTAAAACGACTTGAATAGGAAATCTTAGTAATGCCCTTTTAAAGATTTCCCATAAACATTTTTGATTTTACGTAAGAGTTCGTAGCGCTCCTAATTACGGCAAATAAACGTTCCTTTTAAATTAACTGAAAATAATAACAGAAGAAGAGAGAACAGAAGAATTGTATAATACAAAAATCTAAAACTGTTTATATAAACTAAAACTTATGTACCGAGAACTAGGAAATGTAAGGAACATTTTTTTTAAGTTATAAGATCTACAGAGATAGAGAAACTATTTTATTATGTTGATTTTTTACATAAGACGTAATTTCACTATAAAAAAGTAAACTACTAGTCGCATAAACGCGTGTTTTTGTCACCGGCCGAACAGATTGATTGACAGCTGTTCCACGAAATCAAACAAAATGCGGCGATTGTCTTTTGTTTTAAATCCAATTTTGGTAATTTGAAAGCTGAATCATTAAGAGCAAAGTTTACAACGAATGAAACCGCAGACAGGGCTCTTGTGACTTAAAGTTTGTGATTTAATCCGCGAAATTAAAGCATTTACTGGAAAAGCTTCTCATTTTACAATTATTTATAATGTTACAAAACTATCTCAAAGTTTTACGCTTATTTGCTTTATGCTATCGTCCTTTAAGTATTGACCTTTAACCTCGTTGACTTCTTTCATATAGTTTAATATTGAAAGATAGTAAAATGTGTTGTTGCTTCGTTTTCATATAAAACAGAAATAATAAAACATCAAGTAAAGTTAAAATACTTAATGAACTTTTATTCGGCATAGTTTTCATTTAATTTTGTTGAATTAAAAGGAAACGATAAAGAAAACTCATATACCAGAATTTTCATAAGTTTTTCTCTAAAAAGGTATTGTTTTCATTCACTTACATGCTTAAATCTGTGAAGACCTGTTTTAAGTTGCTAAACACGATTCAGCAAGTTGGTTTAAAATAGACAATATCTCTTCCCCATGCCCCATTAGGGGCTGTATATTTTTATTCTAAAGCATACTTAGCGCAATCCTGTTTCTCTTGCAGCTGCCGTATGGTCTCTCTGAGATTGCGAACTTCCTCCTTCATGCCAATATCCGCTTCATCAGAGGCTAGTTCAATCCCTGGTCGATATCCACGAGTCTCGAGACGGGTTTCAGCTACCTTCAGAGCGTTTACTTTGTCTGCAAACTGTTCCCCTATTGTCTTCAATTCTGTTCCCAGTTTGTCCATGTTCTCTTCCATCTGGAAAAGATACAAATTTCTTAATTATATACCTGATAGAAATGGCGTCGATCAGGTATTGGTAGAAGTTGTTCAAAGGCAATTTAGATTAATCCTATGTATTAAAAAATAATAAACTTAGATTTAATACATTAATATTTTGAATTTAAATCTGTGGCCATAGGTCAGAATATGATAAATGCAATTTCATTACTTTACAGGACAAGCAATTAAATTATAAAGAAATCAGGAAGGCACTATTAAAATATGAAACATTCGATATATGAATGAATGTACTTATCATTGTCTGATCTATGACTACGGAATATTGAATTCTTAGTTATTTAATATTATATTACAAATTAGTATTAGGTTTCTCGCAAAACTTAATCTTAAATACGATACGATCTTAAATTTTGTATCGATTCTTTTTGGTTTCTATTATTCATAAGAATTTAGACAACCATATAATAAAAAAATATACTACAGGAATACATAAATATTAATTAAATATTACACATTGGCAAGTCTAAATACAATTTTAAAAGTCCTATGTAAAAAGATATATCGAATAAAAGTCATACAGTAGGATATGTATATATAAAGATATGTATTTTATAGTCATAACGATAAAATACATATCTTTATATATATAATTCTTCTGTGAGTGTGTATGTCACTGAACTTCTCTCAAACGACTGGACCGATTTTGATGAAATTTTTTGTGTGTGTTCAAGGGGATCTGGGAATGGTTTAGATTCACAAATCAGCCCGGCAGATGGCACTGCAGTCGGTACTTTCATACTTTGCTTAATATCCTAATCGCTTTAAATATCATGCAGGACAACGTCTGTGGGGTCCACTAGTCCTTTATAAGGAAGAAATTACCTTCATTTTCTGCCACTGCAATTCATTCCTCGCTCGTTGAGTATCATAGATCCTCCTTCTCATCATATAGTTGGTGACGTCAGTCTGTGCCCTTAGGGCGTTTCTGGCTCGACCACGAGCTACAAACAGAGACTCACGTAAGCGCAGCGTGTCTTGCAATTCGTTTACTGCCATTTGCTTTATTGCTTCGCATTTTTGTAGCCATTGGTCGTATGTTATCATACTGAAAAGGAAAGCTTGAAGTATGACACCACAATTTATGTATAATGTACGTATAATACACATTAGTATTTTTGCCTTAGGTTTCCATGTTTGAGGAACAAGACGTGGTATTATTTAGTTTACACTGGCGAACCAAGTGACAATGAGTATACCAATTAATTTAAACACGGTATCACGAATATCTATATGTACGGGTTAAAAACGAAAACTATTTTGTACGGTTTTACCAATATATCAAAAAATACCTAACTTAATAACAAATACTACTAAATTTGAATATTATGTTATAACTGGCATTCAAATCATGATGTAACATTTTTAGCTGTATATTGGGTTTATATGTTTTATACAGAACTGGACAGACTTTTGGACACAATCCCAGCTGATGTTAAGTGAGATGCGGCCTATTTGCCAATAGTCCAGGAGTTGCCTATTTCAACGCCGCTTAAATGGACCCATATTAAACTGTCTAGGTAAGGAGTTCCACTCATTTGCTGTTTTTACAAGAAACGACGATCCAAATCGTGCAGTGCGTACATATATCTTTAGGTATTTAGTAGCAGGGTTTTATGAAATAAAATATAATGATATAGAGGTCGCCAAAAATCTTGGTAAAATACATCAAATAGTCGCGGTCGAAGCTCAACACGGAAGCTCCATATAAAGTTTACCGTTTTGGAGTTTTCAGTGAGTCGGTTTTGTATGTAATGTTGGCACAGTCTTTATCTAGGTTGAGCATGTCCTTGTCAATCTGTAGACTTTCATTCTTGTCGTTCAAATCGAGCTGTAGCTTAAACTTCACTACTTCCAGCTTGTTGATTTTCTCCCAAGCGGATTGACAACGGTCAATCAACATTTTCTTATTGCTCTCTGTCACGCAAAGTTCCTGTAATTACACAAAAACGTCTTACATATAGTGTGGTATGTAAGGATGTTTAACGGCTCGTTTTTTCTAATATTTGTCTCGGCTTTTTCACTGCTCTGTTCGTAGCTTTACTTTAGAGTGTTGGCCGCATGATTTGAGGGTGCGATCCGCAACCGTTTGGTCTTGCGTTCGAATCACCACTGGGTACCAATGGTTGTCTACTCATGTGTGCAATTAAAACTAAAAACGCTCGTGCGTTGAGGAACATCAAAAATAAGATAGAAAAACTTAATGGTCATCACACTGTTTAGTTTATTTTTGTATTAATGTTTTTTACTTTTGGGTGAAAACGTTTCTTTCTTTCAAATAACAGCTTAACATTACATTTAAAAAAATCAAACTTTTTTTAATAATATTGGATTGTTTGTAACTAGCCCAAAATCAGGATAACAATTTTATTTTTGTATGGTATAAATACAAGTTATAATGTCGCTACAATAAAGCTAAGGTAACAAACGATTCCGGGCTTATAAATTACGTCGAAAATACATAGTTAAATCGAACCTTTTTTAATTCTGTATCTGCCAGATCATATGTGAGTTCGGAACTCATTCTTCCATCTCTGTTGGAAAGACACTCTGAACAAACTAGGAGAGGCATGTTCAGTTGTTCCAATTCTCGCTCTGTAGATGCTTTCTCTTCTTTTAATGCTGCCATTTCTCTGTCTATCCGGTCCAGCAACTCTTGTAATGTAGATTTCCATTGCTCTATTTCATATACTCTGTTGAATGGATACTTTCATTAAATATGCCTCTTATCCTCTCGAATGCCCTAGCTGGTAAACTTAAGTATATTTATTGTATACATAATAGTAATAACAAAACTACCTTAATAAGATTTGTAAGTAAAGTGAAGAGTTTTGGTCTAGTGGGTTCAGCGTGCGACTTTCAACCCTCAAGTCGAAGGTTCGATCCCCAGCTGTGCACTAATGGACTTTGTGTACGTTCGCATATAACACTCGCCTGTACGGTCACGGAAACAATCGTAAGGGACCGGGCATTCTTTAGACCCTAAAAAGACGACGGCGTGTGTTAGGCACAGAAGGGTGATCTCTTAGTTGCCTATAAGAGAAATCAATTTATCACGAAACTGATGCCGAAATCTGAACCCATGCCTTAAAAATGGTTGTAGCGCCACTGGATTTTTTATAAAGTATACTATACAATAATAATAACATTTCATGAAAAACGGTTGTGGTAAAATTCATATATCGCTTGTACCCACAATAGGGAGTTCCAATATAATAAATAAATATGGAATTAAAAATGTTAATGTATTACACATGAACAAAATTACGAGTTAGTATAAAATGCTTGCTTACCTGGCGCGAAGTCTATTGTTATTATGGTAGCTGTCCCAATCGGTTTTGATTTTCGTCTCATTTCGTAGCTGGTATGAACTGTATCGAAGGTCGAAAGCATCAGCCCTTCTAGTGTCCGCGGTGACCTATAAAAAGTGTTTTTTGTATTTGTCTACATTCCTTTTAAATTCGATAGGGCAACGAAGATTTTTTGACTTAAAATTTTCGCTATTTACTACGTTTAATTTTTACTGCTTTCAATCCACTTGAGTTCAATAATAATCGCATAAGTATACAATTACTTCGACGTTCTGCCGCGTAAGGTATTATGTGAAGGTACTTCGGTAGTAAATGTTGAAAAACTCTTGGCTGCAATTCGACTTATTAAAAAGTGACCCATTTATTTCAACACCAAAATCATACTACTTACATATTATCTAGGTTCAAGATTACAAAAGCCTTAAAATAAGTATAAAAGAAAGACCTTCAAACATTTTCATTTGTAAGCGTGATAATTTGTGCATTGTCTCTGCTCCAATTATTCCGGAACTAATGAGGGAAAAAAGTGACTTAAGATATTTCACTTTGTGGGCGCGGTGTTTTCTTTAATTACAGCGTTGCAATTGTGAATTAAAAATTCTTTTTAAACGTTAAAGCGGGACAAGCGAAAACAATTATTTAGCCCGAGTGCAAACAGAAGACCCTTTGTTTTTGAGGTTGTTTTTATCCTTTGGGTGAATATTTTGTGGGAACATTTTTATTTGGTGTATTTTAAAAGTGCAGGGGCTTGAAAGGGTATAAAACGAGACTGCATTTACTTTTTACAATATTTTTGGACGAAAGATAAATAATCAGCCAGTAAAAGATTCGAATAATCGCTAATTAATCCTTTGCTCTCCTTGAACGTCGTGGATATGTCATAAGTTAATCGAAACTTTACCTAAAAGTTAGTATACATAAAGGCCCTAGATCTAAAAGCTTGTTAAAATAATCAGATAACTTATTATAATTATTGATATATTTCAAAAGTAAATTACAGGCCAAAAGATTTTCTCATGTTTCTACCTCATCTAGAAAGTGTATGAAACAAATTCAGAGCAGAAACGTTTTTTACATAGCTAGAAATATTCCAATCAATAACATAGAAATGTATGTCAACAATACCACTTCAAGTTTCAGACGAAAAACTTTGGGAATGAATATTTACGACATATTTGGGTTCGTGCTAAAAGTGATACCTTTTGATCGAAAACGCTACACATCTTCACTGAAGTTACGACGTAGTCTTTGTTATATGGAAATGAGCTTTTAAGTGTGAAACTCGACAAAATCTTCGACATGTTTTTATTTACACTTGTTTAGTCATTGCTTAATTAACTCAATATTTTATACTAATATATAAAATTATCGTGTCATAATGTTCGTTCCCATACTTCTTCGAAACGGCTCCACCGATTCTTATGAATTTTTTTATGCATTTTCAGTAAGTCTGATAATCGACAACTATCTATATTTCAAATCCTTAAATAATAAGGGGTGTCCACCCCAAACATTTTATTTTTATTTTTTGGATAAATTTTTTTGTATGGTAGCTTATTTTGTTAAAAATAAACGTATATTTATACGCTACAATCGGACCTTCTTACATAATTGCATTCATTTATTAGTAACAGGCACATACATTTTTATGAATGATAATTTAAGTACTTTTTTTTTAAAACAGAACTGGACATAGGTTTGGTCACAATTCCAATCGCCTGATCTTAAGTGAGATGTGGCCTATTGGAGAGCACGCCTGTCCAGGAGATAATGCTTCAACTGCCGCTGCAACTCAAAAAGTTCAACAAACTTGTGATATGGCATTATATTTGCAAATCATGTCACAAATATTACGAAAATTTACGAAAGTTCAGTAATAATATTTATAGTAGTTTGATTGAGTACGTACTGTAAGGCTCAAAGGTCAAGCGCGTTTAATAGTATGATCGTTTACCCAGTGTTTCCCGGCAAAACATTAGATACGTTTCTAGTATCGTCATCTATTATTAGGGAGCGTTCCAGTATTACGTCACGCAATTTTTAGAGATTATTGACACCCCCATGTTACGCGCCGTAAGCCGTACTCTTTATACCTAAAAGTTACCATTATGTGGTGTAAAGTACTGAAAAGTTGAAACGCGTAATTCAATCCCCGCCCCGCATCGTAACGTTTTACAAAAGGACCCCCTTCCCCACCAAAATTCGTTACTTGCTTGCTAATCATATTTAAAGGAAAAATAAAAAAAATGCATGCGTTGGGACACCCAACGATGTCGAGTTAGGCGTCAAGTCACTAGTGGAGTTTTGACTTTAAATAATCAACATCATTGCTAATCCAAATTTGAGAGCCAAAATAATTAGCGGTTTTCGGATCAGCTGTAATGCGGAACGTTTATCGAAAACCAGCTTTTGTGGCGGCATCTTGTCAAAATAGGCTTAGCAACGCGTCCTGCGAGGGACAGGCGAACTTTTCCAATTTACAAGCAAACTAGGCGGCGTAAAATTATAGTCAATGTTTAAATTTGCCATTTTGTCCGTATAAAAGCTTTTGTTGTATGTTTAATGGCTTTGTATGCGTTTCAATGCAAGAGCTTCATATTAGTTTGTTTTAGCATGGATTAGATTGTTTTAGTTGACTTTATAAAGTTTGTTCCTTGTTATTATCGATATATCGTAACATGCATATTTACGGGTTTCTCTTAATATGTCTTTAATTTTGAAAATAGATTTGTGAATTGCGAAATACTTATAAATAAATCAACTGTTGCCTTGGTGAATCATGATAAAAAAGTATATAAAAAAGACATTTTTTTTTGCATATATGTATATGTAGAATACCGTAATATATATATCAATACTATCAAGTAGTCAAATTAGCTTGTACTTCAAAATACATTTTTTCATTTTGAAATATAGTATTCCACAAGCTATGTTAAGAACCTAATAAAATATGATACTTGAAGTAAATTTACCTGCAATCCATACAATCTCGCATCCCAATCAGGCAGAGTTAGATGTGGCAAGGGCTTTTCATAAGTCACCACGGACTGCATCCTGATGATTTATTGCACATTAATGCACTGAAAATGAGAATTAAAGTTTTTACGGAAAATGAGTGTCAAAATGACAAATGTGAAGCGTCGACTGACGTGCAGCGCGCTAAATTGTTCGAAATTTAAAAATTACTGTTACTCACCAGAGACGAAAGAGGTTTTAGTGAATTTCTAAGTTAAGATTACAGATTATCAACTATTCTAATGTAGAATTTAATGTTTTAGGATAATTTGTAGTTTTTTGTTGTGAAATGAAGGCGAACATGAAAATTATGGCGATAATTTAGAATATAATGTTATTAATGCACTTCTTGATTACCAACAGTAGGAATATATTCCTTTTTTATTTTTCCATACTAGGGTTGCCTGGAAGAAATCGCTTGTTAGCGATAACTCCGCCCGTTGCCTAATCACTTATAAGGTAACGTAGTGTTAATAAATAAATAAAACATAAATATAATTATGAAAATATTGACGAAAATTGTAGGCTAAGAAACATTTTCCCACAATCTACTCGATGACGTGTCCTGAAAACGTCAAATTCCAGCCATGTCCATCTGGAAAAAGCATAGCCCAATATTGATACTTCTACGAGTTTAACAAAATAAAAAATTGTGCCACACGCACAGGGTTTTTTGTATATAAGAAAGACCGTTGAATTCCCAAACAGAGGACTTGTTTATTGGAAAATATAAATTAGCCAAATGTAGGCATCATGAATCAAGAATTACATCAAGAACTATCAAGCTTTAATCTAACTTTGTGGTGAGGGTCAAAATAGTAACGTATTATATATTACATAGTACTCATGTCGTTAGTAGACATGCTCTGTTTACCAAACACGAGCGGCCAAGTTAACTGAACTTCTGAATTATACCAGTAAGACTGACCTAGTTTTGTTAAGGAAAAAATAGAATATTTATTACGTACGAAAATAATATGGGAATGAAATGGACTGGAAATGCCCTTTTGGCATTTTTTGTAATGATTTAATCCCACACGCCCCCGTTTTATTGATTGGGTTTTCAGATAAATGTTCATCAATTTATCTGCAGCATTATCTTCGTAACAAACCGACACAATTGTTTAGCCGAGAATTGAACCCGGTTAAAAACCCATTTAATTTTATTTAATTGCTTACTTATCTTATTTATTTGGTAACATTTTAAAATCATCAGAATCGGAATTTATGCTCATAATTACACGCTATATAGGGAGCCCATTTCCAAAGCGATTCTATCATTAAAAACCACTTATAAATTATATTATGCAAAATTTTGTACATCACAACACTACTAAGTTTAACCCTTCTAAGAACTATCAAGATTTACCTTAATTGAGGTCTTATATGAATTAATATCATCATGTGTCAAACTTCTTTAAAAGGTGTTTTAAAAGGAAACTACAGCCTAGACTTTAAAGAAACTGTGATGGACTCTAGCATTCTCCCATGCTTCGTCTACGGGAATCAAACCTGGACATTTACGGAAACAGTGAAGTCGAAGAGAGAGAGTGAAGTCCCAGAAAGCAATGGAGCGAAGTATCTTAAAATCATAAAGACTAAAATCTAAAATCATTAACAGAATACGAAGTGACCCGACCCCTTACAGCAGAAATGGAAATGGGCAGGCCATATTGCAAGTTGTACAGATAAAACATGGACCGCTGAAGCCACCCGCTGGATGGGACCTCCAAGAAAAAGGAATGGCTCAAATGGAAAGTTCAGGAGGAGGCCATTGCCCAAAAGGGGTCCATACTGCAGATTACGAAGTAATTGAAATAACAATAGCTAACGTAGACTAAGTGTTGTACTAAAACACAATAATTACAAATCAAATGGTACACCCATTTGTCATTTGTATGGTATGGAATTAAAGTGGCCTTATTATTAGAAATTATTATTAAAATATGGAACTGAAACTTCAGCCATTTATAAACTAAAATACCAATTGTATGGATTTCTTTAAACCAATCCTAAATTTAACGGTACAAAACCACAATCGCATCGGGCTTTTTACAAAATTTTGGCTTAATAGGTCAATTGAAGCCATAACGCCCTAAGCTCTGTATCAAATATGAAGTTCGCCTCATAAATTTCCTTAATATTTCTTTCTGGAAGATTGCCAGCTCTTGTAGGCTTCGATGCTGACCACATGAATCAGGAGGAATGCATTAAAACAGTACAAATGGTAAGTAGGGTGATTTATATTAAAACAACGCTTGTACGACATATATTTTACAAAAACGACGGTAGACGCTTTGGCGAAGCTTCGAGCTTTGCACTTTTGGAAAATTTGCTAAAATAATGCAAAAATAAGTTTAAAAAAATATATAATAATAATTTATTCAGTTAATTACTAGACCATTTTGTTAATATTTTTGTTGCTTTCACACCGTACGCCATAAAACAATACTATGAAAAAGTAGGCAATTTTTAATTTTATCATATACATATAGCTTTTATTAGTATTAAGTCAGCCTCTTTAATATAGTCATTGGTACATTTGAAAAGGGTTGAAAACATATAATGCTACAACGTTTTAAAACAATATAATCGGATGAGCTGTCGTTTCTCAGTCTGCGATAATCTACATGTGTCGGACATTCTTTCTGTTTCTTGTTATACTACAAATGTTGCCACTGGTGTGGTCTCAACAAATTCTTTATACTCAAAGAATACAATAAATCTAGTTCATGACTATCGATCAACGGGAACTGGCCAAACAGAGCTGAGATATAAAATATTCCCATTTATTCCATCTCCATAATAATTTTCCATAAGCGCACAGTAGTGTTTATGATATTAGAAATATTCCGGGCTCTATCTACATTCCAACGACGGAATCCTATTGAGAACGCTGTCTTCGTATTATCTTTATTATGTGCTGGGTTAGCGGAAGCGCAATTTTTAGTATTTTTCTCAGGAATTTCATTAGAGTTGTCAACATCAGGCCAACTACACGAAGTTTGAACTAATTGGGGTTTCTCTCAAAATATCTGGAAATTCGATGTATCGAAAAAAACTCTTGTTCAAAGACATTAAATTAAAAAAGTGAAGTTATATATTTATATGTTTATACCTAATTTCGCCTTTTTACTTTAAATACGTAGAGTATATATGTGTAAACTTGATTATGTTGTCAATCAAAGTGTTACAAATTGTATTATTGATTATCTATGAAACTCTTGTTGAGAGACTTTAAATTAAAAAAGTGAAGTTTTATATTTAAATATACCTAATTTATAAATTATGTATAGATTATTTAATATTTTCCAATAATAGACATTTTTGTATTTGTTTTAAAGATAATATTTCTACCGTACCTATGTTTCGGAGTTCTGTGTCTAATAGTACCATAAGTACCTAGTATTTTTAATCAGCCATACATGTCATGTTTTCATGATATTTACTTTTATAAAAAGTATTTATTTAATGGAACAGGAGGCAAACGGGCAAGAGGATCATCTGATTAAGTTAAGTAATACTGCCATGCCTTTTAAGAATGGGTACCCTTTTTTTTTGAAGGACCCTAAGTCGAAATAGTAATCAATTAGTGGTCCCGGTTGGAATGGGTCTACCTATGACAGTATGACTATATGTATATTATTGACCTATCAATTGTGAATCAGCTAAACTATCTTAAAGTAAAATAATCAGTGGCGCTACAACTTTTTAAGATCTAGGCTTTCTGTATCTGTTTCATGATCATTTGTCAATCTAATAGGCTGTGGTGTGTTGGTGGTAGTGGTTTCATATGAGGAAATTGTATTAATTTTTACAATAAACTCCCAAGCGAAATTAGAGAATTATCACTATTCAAAGCTCTCGTTAAACGTAAATTAATCAATAAAGCTTTTTATAAATTTGACGAATAGTTAAATGATCCTAATCCTTGGGATTGATTTGCTCCAGTTTAAACAATTTGTAGGACTCAAAACTTAGCGCTGCCCGCTGTACGCCCTTGACTTGCGAACTGGTAGTAAATGTAAATTTATAATTAATTTAACTTCTTTACGGTTGACGTTTATAAGTGTACTTGTATAGTTTGAGTTTGAGTTAATAGGTGATCAGCCTTCTGTGTCTGAAACACGCCGTTGACTTTTTAGGTCTAAGGCAAGCCGGTTTCCTAGCGATGTTTTCCTTCACCGTTCGAGCGAATGTTAAATGCGCACATAGAAAGAAAGTCCATTGGTGGATAGCCGGGGATCGAACCTACGACCTCAAGGATGAGAGTCGCACGCTGAAGCCACTAGCCAACACTGCTCTAAAAAGTTAATATATCAAATAGAAATAAGTCTTAGTTAACAACGTTTTACTGTGTACACAGAGTTTTCAAACTAAATCTGAGTAACAAATTGATTGAAGTAATTAATTTAATGTGTCGAATTTCACTCGCTCCCTTGTTCGTATTAATCTTTATTAATTTGATGTTAAGTATTTACTTAAGTGTAATATTTGAGCGTGTTAAACTGAGTAGTAAACTAATACAGTACATACTATTATAGCAATAAATACCTTGGTGTAGTTTTGTCTACTAAAACAATATATATTCTAATAAATAAAATTCTCGTGTCACCCATACTCCTCCGAAACAGCTAGACCGATTCTTATGTAATTTTTTATGCATATTCAGTAAGTCTGAGAATCGGCTACTATCTATCTTTCAAACTCCTAAGTGATAAGGGGTGCCCACACCAAAACAATGTTTTTTTTTGAAATTTTTTTATTTTTTTTGATACAGCATACAAAAATACATACAACCCCTAATTTTCAACTCTCTACAATCAACCCCTATAAAAATAATAAAAATATTATAGTAGATAGCTATTTTTATTGAACTAAAAAAATGTTTCCTAGAAATAATATACATGGCAATACAACATTTGCCGGGTCAGCTAGAATACTTATAATTATTGGACTTGGGTCTCTCAAGTCTAAGGTTCGATCCCCGTCCATCAATGATCTTTCTATGCGCATATAGGCGCATCTAACACTTCGTCTTACGTTGAAGAAAATGTCGTAAGGAAACCGGAATGTCTCAAATCCAAAAGTCGACGACATATCATACAGAAGGCTGATCTCCAATCTGTTTATGAAATGAAAATAATCAATAAAAATGATGCAACCTGAACAAAACATATATAGGGTTGTAGTGCCACTGTAGTATTTACTATTAATTTTATTGTGGAAGCTTGGAATTGTTGTGGGCTGCCATTTTAATTGCTTCGGAGATCATACATTGAGAGCGTCAAAGTCAGATCAGTTTGTAAACGTTAATACTTGTGGTTAATTGAATTGGCTGATATTAATAGACAAATTAACGACTATTTAATAGTCAATAGAATTAGTGTTTCCATAGTCATTACTATTGTTACCAGGATCGGATAGAAAACTGCGTAAATCTCTTTAACAAGGAATTTAATTGTAGTAAAAACACACAAGTTACGCGAATAAAACACTCTAATAAATGCACAAAATACTGTCACTAATCACTTGAATTACGCGCACATATTGTCTTCACTATTCGCACTTTTATCTCTTCGATGTTAATGGCTATCGAAACTTAATAATTGGTCGCGGTTTGTTCCGCTATATCCCTGGGAATAATCATAACATAACATTCATAACATCAAGTAATATCCAAATTCACAAATGTAAGGGATTCGTGAGACTCGACAAACACGCACCTTATCTGATCGTCATAAACCTGAGACCTTACAGAAGTGCCACGTAGCGTCAAGAATCTCCTATGATCGCTCTTTCATTCTACTGCGCCTCCTTGCTTGAGCCTTTTTACTCTAAAATGTAGCCTACGAACTGCTTCCTTTGTAGCTTTTACAAAAGAATTACTCCGTCACCCCAAAGCCGAATCAATCACAAAACTCTGCTATGAAAGGAAAAATGTTGAAATATTCTAATTTTCTCATCTAAGGATCGACATTCGACACTCGTTGCCTCGCGCGGTAAAATATTAACACGTAAAAGCGTATTTTCCCCTCTTCACGTTATTATTTTTAATCGTTAAAGGTTAACACATCCTTCGTTGTGGTAAGTGAGCAATATAATATTAGGTCCTTACATATGAAATTTTGTATGGGAGAAACAAAAAGTCGAATGTTTTTAAATATAATGTATTTTATTAATCAAAGTATGAACCATTGTTTTCTATGCACTTTTGCCATCTCATAGGTAGTTCATTGATCCCTTTACTAAAAAAAACAGTCGGACGGGAATCAATAAAATCTGTGAAGGCGATTTGGACTGCCCCATCAGAGTAAAATTTTTTCCCTTGCAAGAAGTTGTCCAAATTTCGAAAAAAAAGGTAATCTGTTGGAGCAAGGTCCGGGGAGTACGGACGATGTCTTAGATATTCCAATTGAAGCTCTTCTAATTTGGTAGCCGACTGTTGTGCAGTGTGTGGTCTAGCGTTGTCGTGAAGTAGCAGTGGCGTGGAGCGATTGACCAGCCTAGGTTGTTTAGCCGCTAGCTTTTCCATCATGGTTTGTAATGCATGGTGAGGTACCCATCTTTCAAGCTTTTTAATCTTCCCAATTTGCTTCAAGTGAATTAAAACAGTTTTATCACTAACACCGCAGCCTGCAGCTAACTCGGACGTGGTTTGCGATGGATCCGCTTCCACAATAGCCTGCAATACTTCATTATCAACTTGGGTCTCAGGCCGTCCACGGGGCTTGTTCTGCAGGTCGAAATTTCCAGAACGAAAACGTTGGAACCAAAAACGAACTGTGTTTTCTTTTGCAACATGACCGCCATACACACCATTCACCCTTCGAGTCGTTTC